TACAGAAATTGCAACAAATCCATTTTTCTTTTCGTATGGTGTTGCAAGTTTTTCGAAGAGAAAATAGGAAAAGTTCTGGAAATAGAATATTCAGAAGCTATCCCTTACTGTTTCGGATATGATGCAATCTATTGTCTTGCTCTGGAAATGGAAACTGTGTTTCTAACGAAATTTGCTATCGTGGATACTATGGAATGGATTATTAGCACTGATCCAAGTGTTTGCTCTGAACAGGGAGTATAACAAGTTGGAGTTGAGCATTTCTACATTGGCATTGATTAGGAGATTGACAAGAGCCATTTCTACAAACTTTTGAACTATTGAAAATTTCACCATAGTAACTTCTTTACAAAGTTCTTACTAGTGATACAAAATCTCAATTAGAAATTGAATCTTATTTACAATTCGATTTTACAATTTCCAATAATTTCTCCAAAACCAAAGAATGGAGTACTCTCTGCCACTAGCTCAATATCTAGAGGAGTTGCTTTGACAGATATTTTCCAATTTACATCAGTTGAATTCTCTGCCTCTCAAATATTGCAACGGAATCAGAGATTTCATCCATGAGTTTCTCTGTAACAACATATTTTCATTGAAAAAGGTTGGTAAAAAGACTACAGCACCACAGGTTCCCAAGTTGTCTCCAACCTCAGTACTGATGTGGCTCGACGATGCTTAACTTCTCAAATCGGACGGGATGAGGTGCATTCATCGTGATATGGCCGTAGCCATTCATAACCTTAAATAGCAAAATATGAATCAGTTCAACATTGCAATTTATTGTTTTTGGAAATAGAAAAGAGATGGCGATTTTCAAGAAACAACATTGAGAATAATAGTGAAATTCCTTCAAGATTAATAAATCTTTATTTGAATTGGGCAAAAAATTCCTCTATATTTTCTAATACATTATCAAAAGTGACACTTTGGAGCTCTTTTAAAGGTTTCAGATGTGAATAATCGTAATTTGTATCTGTTTCATCACACGTTCCTTCTTCTGGTTCTCCAACTCTGAAAAAACAATAAGGAGTCCAATAGAATATTTCGTTAGAAGCTTCTCCACAAATTACAATTTCGTCATATCCACTAACAATAACACAATAATGGTGCCTTCCATTAACATAATAAAGACTCTTTTCTTGATAATCAAAATCATGGACATCGACTATTGGCTCCGAGTAAAGGGCATGAGCATCCTTATAAGCTCCATAGGTTTGATAGTCTATGTCATCTCTATTGATAGCTCTATAATTTGCAATGAGATTTGAGACATACTCAAAAGCTTCATCTTTGATTTTTGGATTTTTGATTGTTTTGACATCTCCATAATCATAAGCTGCAGTGAGCTCTTCATCTATCCAAAATATAGTAAGAGGATCAAGATCCAAACCATCATCTCCTATTTGACCAGCTTGAATTGGGGCAGATTTAGTTTTTCTTTTTCTTGGTACAAGATTTTGCACATTTTTCCAAACTCTTTTACCAGGTTTCATATAATTGACAAGATATCCTCGACTATACACCAAACCGACAATACAGGCACAAATAGACTCGAAATCTAAATTTTCCTCCAATATTCCATCAATGAATTGTTTCACTTTCTTTTGGATCTTTCTTTTACGATTCGAATAGCACTCCCTTAAAAACTTATTCTCTGATTTATCTAGCAAGAGAATCCTGAAATATTGATACCCGTAAACTTCTTCATCATCTCCACCATTTATATGATCAGGAAAAAACATTAAAAGCTTGAATTTCCCACCATTTGACTTTCTCAAAGTAACTATGAATTTATACTCTCCATTTTTCAAAAAGCATTTTCCTGAAATGAATTGATTTGCAATTTCTGGAATATAGTATTTGTTGCCTTTTTTAGGATAGGAAGCAAAAGATGCCATCGATTTGTAAACTAATTCTATTACATATTTAGTCATTCTTTCCGTATGTCTTAAATCATCTCCTGATTTCAATAAGTCAATTAACGAATCTAGTTGATAAGGCACTGGACATTGACGATAATCATTAACATCTATTCTACGATTATATTTTTTTTCTCCAAAATAACTAATTATAGGACTTTGATTCTTCGTTTTTCCATTATTATTATTAGATGGAGGAGGTGGTTCTTTGACATAATTATAAGTATTGAGAATAAAGTTCANATAATAATCGACACAAGTGATGCC